GCTACCACGCCCAGCTAATTTTTTGATTTATTGTAGAGATGAGGTCTCGCCAAGTTGCCCAGGCGGGTCTCGAACCCGCAGGCTCAGGCAATCCACTCACCGCAGCCTCCCAAAGGCGTGGAATTACAGGCTGAGCCATTGAGCCTGACTCATTCAAGTAATTTTTATGGAACACTTAGTTTCAGCTGTCATCCATAGGCATAGGAGGTAAAGCAGCAAACAAGCTGCCCTCGTGGATTTGGAATGCTATATTCTTTTCCATAAACTTTCCCACCAGGAACATGTATTACTTTATATATACAACACACATATACACATGTTATAAAACATGCTATGAGAGCACTCAGTTGAGTTCAAGGGAAAGCTATTCTCTTACTCTAGTTAACTATGGTGGGCAGTAATTCAAAAATGAATTTTTTTTTTGAGTTGGGGTCTCACTCTGTCACCCAAGCTTAGAGTGCAGTGGCACGGTCACAGCCACTGTAGCCTCGATCTGCTGGGCTTGGGCAATCCTTTGGCCTCAGGTGATCCTTCAGCCTCAGCCTTCCAAGTAGCTGGAACCATAGGCAGGTGCTGCCATGCCCAGCTAAATTTTTTTTATTGTAGAGACAAGGTCTCGCCAAGTTGCCCAGGTTGGTCTGAAACCCCTGGGCTTAGGCAATCCTCTTGAGCCTTGGCCTCCCAAAGTGCTGGGATTACAGGCGTGAGCCACCACACCCTGCCCCAAAAATGATTTCTGAAAAATACCCCGAAGACTTAAACATCACTCAATACCAACATAGAACAGTATGAACAACTAATTTAATGTAATTTGCAATGTAATTACACAATGTGATTTTTAAATAATCAGTTGACAAGCCTTTATGATTTTATTACTAGAGTCCCGCTGATGCGGTTGCACAAGTTGAAGGAGTTACAGACAAAGGAAAAACCACACTGACACTCTAGTGAAGACAGCAGGCATCAAACACCACAGACACTTGCTTGCCCTCACTTTCCGAAGCCCTATCCTGCTGAAATATGAGCGCATAGCAGCCCACAAAGACCCCTCTTCAGCCTCGATTTGGTGAAAAGGAACAGTGTCAGATCAAACCCTTAGCAAACAATTGCATTACAGGAAGAAAAGTGGGGGTCACTGCAAAAGCACAATGTCTACCCACTAATGCCTTCTCCCAGAGTCTTTTGTAAGGCAGAGGAGCAAGCTTTCTTTTGCTCTAACAGTGACATAACTTAGGATGTGGAATACAGAAAACTTGAGGTCCTCAACAGATTCCAAGGCATTATTAGTAAGAGTTCCCATACCTGAAACCTCATTTCTTAGCAAATTGCTCAAGCCGAGGAAGTTATGATGCAAAACCAATAAGAAGAGAGCAATAGCCAGGACCAAGATGACGATGTTTACTGAAACAGATAGGAAAAACCTGCATTACATCTCGTTACCTTTGATCAGGTATAAAAACATAACTGGTAGAAAGACCATACCTTTACGGAATGACATCTTTTTCTTCTGTCTTATATAAATATTAGTTATTAATCCTACAAAACAAAAACAAGCCCCCAAAGTCAGCAAGTACATGAGAAAGGCCATCAAAATGTCTAAACACTTTTATTTGGGTAGAAACAGGAGGCACACATGGTATTCTGCTAGAAACCCATTTTGAATTAACTTTCCAAGAACCCAATTTGAAATCTGAAATTTTTGGTAGCCATAATAAAGTTATTCCAAGCCGGGCTCGGTGGCTCAGCCTGTAATCCCGCGCCTTTGGGAGGCTGAGGTGAGTGGATTGCCTGAGCCTGCGGGTTCGAGACCCACCTGGGCAGCGAGACCTCATCTCTACAATAAATCAAAAAATCAGCCAGACATGGTAGCGCATGCCTGTAATTCCGGCTACTTGGAAGGCTGAAGTGGAAGGATCGCTGGAGCCCAGCAGGTCGAGGCTGCGGTGGCCGGAAGTGGCCACTGCACTCCAGTCTGGGCGACAGAGTGAGACTCCAACTCAAATATAAATAAATAAATAAAAAATAAAAATAAAGTTATTCCAAGTAACCTTGAAGAAATATATAGCCTTTGCCTTGTATATTATATGTCACAAGATGAAAAGCAAAATATATTCTACTAAAAGGATTACATAGAGTTTAAACCACTAGAAACATTTAAGAATACATTTCTGCCGGGTACAGTGGCTCACACCTATAATCCCAGCACTTTGGGAGGCAGAGGCAAGAGGACTGCCTGAGTCCAGGGGTTTGAGACCAGCCTGAGCAACATGGCAAGACCTCGTCTCTGCAATAAGTAAAAAATCAGCTGGGCATGGTGGCACATGCCTATGGTTCTAGCTACTTGGAAGGCTGAGGTGGAAGGATCACCTGAGCCCAGCGGTTGAGGCTGCGGTGGCTGTGAGTGCACTGTACTCCAGCCTGGGGAACAGAGTGAGACTCCAACTCAAACAAACAAACAAAACCATTTCTATTTAACATTTCTAATTAAATTAGACATAGACTCAGTTGTCTATGACCAAGTAACCTGAGATCTTAGCCTCATCAGTAAAAACATCCCTATTCAGAGTCGAATCCTTGTCACCTTTAACATAAGTGTCCTCAATGAAAAGAACATTACCAAAATTCACTTGACAAAGCCACAGCAAAGAAAAATAGTTACAAAAATTCACAAAATCCAATCTTGCTACAAAAATTTAGAGTGCATTTCTAGCCATTGTAACTACGAAAAATAATAATAAACTGAGGGTGCTATTCTCAAAAATTTTAAATCTGGTAAAGGAAAAATGAACTTCTTCCTGGGGCATCATCTCTCTTAAGAAAGTAGTAAAAGTGGTATCTAATCTTGTCACTCTTCCCTATCTAGTCCTCCCAGCTCATCTGACACTTTCATTTTTTTTTTCAAAACAAATTAATTCCATGGAAACAAGATTGTAGGTGGAACTAAATTTATTAAGCAATTAAATCTATTCAACAATCTCTGAGTAAGATGTTTCCTTAAAGATAGATTTTATGCAGCCAGGATATTTTGAATCTATATTTTAACCTTTTTTTTTTTTTACTTTATCCTCATGCATGGTAGTACCTAACATTTATATATGGATATTAATTTTACAAAGTACTTTCAAACATAGCATATTTCTAAGAATCACAGTAAATTTGTTTAGAGACAGAGTCTTGCTATGTTGCTGTTGCTAGGCTGGCCTTGAACTCTTGGGATCAAGCAATAGTACGCCTCAGCCTCCTGAGTAGCTGGGACTGCAAGCAAAGTAAGTTTGAATTAATTTCATCCTAGATAAATTGTGTGCATATCAGGCACTTGATTTCTCAAGGCCTTTGTAAAGCAGAGATATTTATTATTATTATTTTGAGTTGGAGTCTCACTCTGTTGCCCAGGCTGGAGTGAAGTGGCACACTGACAGCCATTGCAGCCTCGACCTTTTTTGGGCTCAAGTGATCCTTCTGCCTTAGCCTTCCAAGAAGCTGGAACTACAGGCACACGCCACCATGCTCAGCTACTTTTCTGTTTTATTGTAGAGATGAGGTCTCACCAAGTTGCCCAGGCTGGTCTCGAACCCGTGCGCTCAGGCAATCCTCTCACCTCGGCCTCCCAACGTGTTGGGATTATAGGCATGAGCCACCGCACCTGGCCAAAGAAAAATATTTTAAAGAGCTGCTTAAGAAATTGGGAATCAGCCAGGTGAGATGGCTCATGCCTATAATTCCAGCAACTCAGTAAGCTGGGGTGGGAGGATCATTTGTGCCCAGGAGTTCAAGATAAGCCTGGGCAACATAGTGAAATCCTGTCTCTAAAAAGATAAATTTAAAGAAAAACAAAAAACTGGGGCTCACAAACCAGATTACAAATTAGGGGGAAAGAACTCAGACTCCCCAAAGAACAATCTAAACGCATACCCTTCTAGAGAAATATACATGAAATACATCATCTCAACAAACTTCCTCTCTAAAGAATATATGTCATTATATGCCCTAAGCCAGGTGCCTCTATCACATGGTGGGCTATTTAGACAAAGCTCCCAAATGTGCCTGTGATGAGTCAACTTCTACCACAACTGGAGAAAAAAAATTTCACTCAAATTAACCCATTAGCTAATGGTACAAGGGACAATGTTTTAGCTCATCAAATTTCAGTAACAGTCGCAGGTAGAATGATGCTCAAGAGGCACATGCATTTTTGCTATTCCAGTTGACTGGACACAAGGAAAACACAATTCTAACAAGTATCTGATATACTTTAGGTTAGCATGGCAGAAACCATTTGCTCCTAAGATGCTTCCAGTTACCTCCATGCAAAATGTCAAGTATCATGGAGTATGTCTAATCCAAACTTCCTTTCCTGGTGCTATTCCTGGTAACAAAGTTTCCCTGATTTTGTTAGAAGGAATTCTCAAAACAAAATTGCATGTCGACCCAGGATGTATAATAGTAGTTACATTTTTGTAGGAGTACATAATTGTATACAACTTGATCAGCAATACAGCTGGCCCTCCATATCTGCGGGGCACTGGCTCCAGGACCCCCATGTATACCAAAATCCACAGATGCTCAAGTCCCTTATATCATATTACAATTAGCCTTCAAAGCATCTGTTTATTTCAATTTATAGTTTGTTGACTACAAGGATATAAAACCCATGAATATGGAGAGCCAACTGTATTCAATTGTTCAGTATGAAAATACTTTATTTTGTTCAGAAATTATAAAACTTTCACATTCCCAAATCACTTACAAAAACAACCTACCTACACACACACACACACACAGTCAGGCATACCCAGAATTACAAAAGAAACCTGAGAGGAAAACAACTTTTGCTAGCTACCTGAATGTATACCTACATTCTCAGCAGCTATTCCCACTTTTCTGTTTCCCCTTCTGTTACTGTGAATCAAGTACTTCCATAAAAGGTCATTCCACTGGTGTTCTATATCCTTTCTTCATTTCCTTGTTGTTGCACCATCAACCTCTTTTGCTCTCTGATAGATCACACTCATAATTATGCTGTCATGCTCTGGTATCTTCCAGTTAATTAAAAAAAGAGACACCGAGCCAGGTTTGGTGGCTCAGCCTGTAATCCCGCGCTTTGGGAGGCTAAGGTGAGCGGATTGCCTGAGCCCAAGGGTTCGAGACCCGCCTGGGCAACTTGGGAAGACCTCATCTCTACAATAAATCAAAAAATTAGCCGGGCGTGGTAGCGCGTGCCTGTAGTTTCAGCTACTTGGAAGGCTGAGGCGGAAGGATCGCCGGAGCCCAGCAGTCGAGGCTGAGGTGGCCGGGAGCAGCCACGGCACTCCAGTATGGGTGACAGAGTGAGACTCCAACTCAAAAAAAAATAAAAAAAAAGAGCCGGGCTCAGTGGCTCAGCCTGTAATCCCGCGCCTTTGGGAGGCTGAGGTGAATGGATTGCCTGCGCCCGCAGGTTCGAGACCCGCCTGGCAGCGAGACCTCATCTCTACAATAAATCAAAAAATCAGCCAGGCGTGGTAGCGCATGCCTGTAATTCCGGCTACTTGGAAGGCTGAGGCAGAAGGATCGCTGGAGCCCAGCAGGTCAAGGCTGCGGTGGCCAGGAGTGGCCACTGCAATCCAGTCTGGGCGACAGAGTGAGACTCCAACTCAAAAAAAAAAAAAAGAGAGAGAGAGAGACGAGCCGGGCTCAGTGGTTCAGCCTGTAATCCCGCGACTTTGGGAGGCAGAGGTGAGTAGATTGCCTGAGCCCGCGGGTTTGAGACCCGCCTGGGCAGCGAGACCTCATCTCTACAATAAAATCAAAAAATTAGCTGGGCGTGGTAGCGCACGCCTGTAGTTCCAGCTCCTTGGAAGGCTGAGGCGGAAGGGTTGTCGGTGGCTGGGAGCAGCCACTGCACTCCAGTCTGGGTGACAGAGTGAGACTCCAACTCAAAAAAAAAAAAAAAAAAAAAGACAGAGAGAGACGCCATCATTCCTACCCCAACAGACCCAATCCACAGACCCATTTTCTGTTTCCCCTCACTCTAAAAGCTTCAAAGGATTTAAAGTCTTTAGTTCCACTTTCTCCTCTCATCTCTTTAGTCTCCTCCAACCAGACTTCTGTTCCTTCATTCAAACTATTGTGAAAGTCACCAGAGACCCTTTCTGTCCTCCTCTCACTAATCCCCTGAAACCATCAGGCAAGTTCTCCACTCTCCCTCCTTAATTATGAAATCATCTCATTTATTTATTTCTGTCTTTTCTGACCAGAATGTAAGCTGTATGAAAACAAGCTCCAATAAAAATATTAACTAAAACTGTCTGGCAAATGGTAGTAGGCATATGATATTTGTTGAATGATCTTGCTAATTTAGGAATCAGGCTAGTTCTCAGCTCAGAAAGGTAATGCGATCTTTGGTAATAATAATGAAAGAAAACCCAACATAAGGAAAAACACGGATTCCAATGAAACACTCCGTTCAACTGGAACCTGACAGGCAATTTCCTTTTCCCACACCCTTATATTTCAAATACCATAAAGTCTCTACAGTAACTGCCATCATATAAAGTGCATTTGAAGAGAGACAATGCAGAGAAATATATCTATTTATACACACAACAGAAAGTCTGTTCAAACACAGCAATACATTCATAGCATGGGGAGGAGACTGGTATGAACTCTTGCCCATCCTAGTGTCTACCCTCCACATGTGCTGGCTCCTAAGGTCGGAAAAGTGTCCAAGACATCTGCATTTTACTTTTTGGTCTCTGCCACATGGAAAGGTGGAAAGGTACTGAGTTACTTCTTCAACTGCCTACCTCCTGCTTGGTTTTCAGGTTTCCACGTTGCATCTCTCCTGAGCTCCCACAACTCCTGGGCCTCCCTACCCCAGGGCTAATCCAGCTGTTGTATATTTCTAGGGTTGTCTATGGTGACAGGCTCTGGGCCCTAATAAGGCACGAGATTGTTCTTGGTAACAGCAGTATCCTCGGTCCACTGGCACAAACAAGGTGCCTGAGTATTTGTTGACTGCGTGAATGAAGGCAGAGTCTTGCTATGCAGAGGGCAGAAACTGGGATGGTCAAGAGTTTATACTAGTCTCCTTCCCATGCTATGAGTGTATGTATCATTTCCTTGGTGTAGCATCAAGTTGCACACCATCCCCTCCCGGAATGGCTAGAACCCCACGGTCTGTGGTCTAACCCTGCAGAGAGCAAGCTGGGACCCAGAGGCCTGTTTTTCTCCAAAACGCGAGCACCCTACCTAGTTCACGGTAACAGAGGAGAGCCTGACATTTTGAGATCTATACCAGCCTTGAAAGAAGGACTGAGTGAAGCCCTGGCTGGCCAGCATGTTAGTAGGCCGAGTTCAGATGGGGGACTCTCTCTATGCGAGTGCAAGGACCACTTTTCTTTCCGAGAGACTTCTCTTTCTTTCGAGGATGCAGCCTGGAGTAGTCTCCCCGAAATTTTAAGGGTCAGTAGGGCCCCCTTACTCTTAGGAATGATTGGAGGATGATGCTCCGGGGTTCCCGCCACACAGCAATACACGGTTGGGGCTCCGACAAGCAGCACCCCTCAGAAGCTCGCCGCGGCCGCTCTCACCTGCGGCCAGAGGAGGAGCTGCGGCCGCCGCCGCCGCCGCCCGCGCCCCGGCCCACCCTGCCAGCTCAGCGCCAGCGCCGCAGGCCCCGGGACCCAGCCCTCCGCCTGGCCGCCCGCCTACCCGGCACTCTAGGCCGAGGCCGCTCGCCCGCTAGCTCCGTGGCAGCCACGCAGTCCCACCACCGCGAGTCCGCCAGCTGCTCTCTGTCCGCAACCCCGTCTCGCTAAGCAGGCGCTGCGGGACAGTCCCGCTGCCGGGGTCCTCGCAGAGAAAGGCCGTCGTTATGGAAACGTAGCACGCGCCAGCGGCCGTTAAGCCACACGGGCACTGTCGAGGACAGTTTGCCGGCTCGGGGCCGCGGTTCCCGGAACCCAACGGCACCGACGACGAACCCCTCACGGACGCGCGATGCCTCGGCCCAGTCGCCGCCGATACCGCCTCAGACCTTGAGGGCAGCACGTCCAGCAACAGCCAGCTGCGGACGCGCACGTCGTCTAGCGCAGGCGCGGGGCGGGGCCACGGGCTGTCCCTGTGCACCGGAGACTTCCGCTTCCGGAGCCGCGACCATCGCACTCCCGGGCTTGGCGGGCCGGCCGAGCGACGCACAGTGTCTGCTCCTGGCCGCTACGGTCCCTGAGTCTCGATCACCCTCGCTCCGCAGCCTGCCATCTGCATTCCGCTACCCACCTCCGTAGCCAGCCATGCTGGAGCATCTGAGTTCGCTGCCCACACAGATGGTGAGGGCGCGGGCCGCGGATCTCCCCAGGCCTCTCTTGAGCCCGGCAGCTTCGAAGCCCTTGTCGGAGAACCGCGGGTCCCGGCCTGGATGGTTACCGTCCACCCTCTTCCCCGAATTGCTTCTTGGGTCCTCTTCTCTCTTCCCCGGCGAGGATCTCCCTGCCCACTCTCCGTTAGGGTGCTTCATCTCCCCCCGGGAAACCCACAATTTGATTCCTTGCCCAAACCCTTGGCGGAGCCCCTGATGTTGGTGTTGCCTTGTGCCAAAGCTATGAGGTCACGGCAGGCACTGTATCTCCTGCTGGTGGAACCAAATCTTTTTTTACTCTCCTCCGTCCCAGGATTACAAGGGCCAGAAGCTGGCTGAACAGATGTTTCAGGGAATTATTCTTTTTTCTGCGGTAAGTGTTGGTTTTACATTTAATCTTTTTCTTCGCCCCGTTCCTCCGCAGCTTGACTGTTTAATATACTTTGTTTCTAGATAGTTGGATTTATCTACGGGTACGTGGCTGAACAATTCGGGTGGACTGTCTACATAGTTATGGCCGGATTTACTTTTTCATGTTTGGTAAGAAGTTTGTGACTGGGTGTTAGTGACAACTTGGGTCTTCTGAGTAGGGTTGGTTTGGTTGGACCTAGTTAAGAGTGAGAACCAGAGCCAACTCTTCCCTCATCCTTCCTATCAGTGTTTCCCCTTGCTATCTCTGGAAAAAGAGAATGCTAAGTAGTGTTAGATGGTGTGGACTGCATAAAAGTTTCTTTTGGCAACTACTTCAGGTAATAACCTTAAAGTTAAAGCTAGCAGAAATTTTTCAGTGTTCACATTGCCCACCTCAGCGTTCTTTTAGGTCTTAAGGCCATCTGTGTAAACAGTGAGGATGTTCCCATCATCTTTACAGTATTCTGTGTGGATGATGGCACAGAGCCTTCATAGGAATTTCACTTATTTTGTTTGTTTCCTTTGGCATAGGAGTCATTGGGGAACCAGGATTATACATACTGATTTTTTAAAACTTTTAATGGCTATAACTGATATATTTTCTCTGTTCTGGCCCAGCTGACACTTCCTCCATGGCCCATCTATCGCCGACATCCTCTCAAGTGGTTACCCGTTCAAGACTCAAGCACAGAAGACAAGAAGCCAGGGGAAAGAAAAATTAAGAGGCATGCTAAAAATAATTAATTGGGGTTTTCATGATTCAGCACCTGCTTTTGTTTCCTGTGAGCTGAGTTAAACTGCTTTCATTAAAATATGAGCTAAAACCACATATGCTCTTATGGCACAGCTACGTATAGATTTAGGTTCTCTTCATTTCTAACCCATTTGGGTTTTGACTTATAGTTTAGACCCTCTCGTCATAATCTTGCTCTGAAATGGGGAACAGAAAATATGAGTATGCAGTTTCTTTCAGGTATAGATAATGAACAACTGCCTCATAAATGATAGTACAATTTAACAAACAGAGATGCACAATTTAACTATCAAAGTTTTGTAATTCATTATGAGTTGCTTAACTGTTTTAATGTTTCCAATTAAAACTCATAATGCAAGTCTGTGTCCAAAGGGTCTTTTGTTCATTGTTCTGGCAAGCAAGAGTATTAGTAAAAGCCAAAGTTAGAAGTTCATGGTTCTGAAAGTATAAGCACTATTTTTTTATTTTCTGTGCTGCAAGTTCCTACTATATTCGTAACAATAGCACTTACAAAAAAATTTACTAATGTAAATTTTGGCAAAGTAATAGTGATACCACTGAAATAAGGCTATTGTTAAGTAGAAAACACTTAATTCATGCTTTACTTGAGGTAGACCAAAGTAAAAACCTATAAGGCTGTAAATTCCTTTTAATTTTTCCAGAGGGCTAAAGTGGAAAAATGTGCTTAAAGATCTTGCATTAAGAGTGGGAGTGGGTTTGAGACCCGCCCGGGCAACTTGGCGAGACCTCATCTCTACCTTAAATCAAAAAATTAGCTGGGCGTGGTAGCACACGCCTGTAGTTCCAGCTACTTGGAAGGCTGAGGCGGAGGGATCGCCGGAGCCCAGCAGGTCGAGGCTGCGGTGGCCGGGCCGGCCACTGCACCCCAGTCTGGGTGACAGAGACTCCAACTCAAAAAAAAAAAGTGTGGGAGTGGGAAGGTTATTGTAAGTAATGCTGTTTCATAATGTCAGGATATAGGACTTCCAAACTATGAGTTTTTAAAAAAGGAAGCTGGCTGGCACAGAGCCTTCATAGGAATTTAATTCTAGCACTTTGGGAGGCCGAGGCAGGAGGACGGCTTGAGTCCAGGAGTTTGAGATGAGCCTGGGCAACATAGTGACACCCTGTCTCTAATACAAAATAAAAGGAAGCAAATACCGTAATAGTGCAAAATCCACAAAAGATTTTTTAAAAGGTAGGAAAAGGAAGAAGACAAATAAGACCAACCAAATTAGTAAATATATTACACGTGACTAAAAAGTTAGACGCTCCCAGATGGGGTTAAAAATCAAGTTACCTCATGTTCTCAAAATGACATCCAAAGGTTGAAAACAGGAGCAAGGATGTATGAGCTAGATGTAAGCAGAAAGGAGGAGTAACAGTGAAAAAGTCAGATACTTAATATCAGAAAGCATTAAATGGAGCAAAGAGGACTTTTTAGAGCTGTCAAGGTATCACTGTTATGAATCATTATGCATAAACTAAGAAATGAACTGTATAAAGTAGACTGCTGCATAGACAAGGGTTTGGCAAAACTATATTCTTAGTAGACCAACACTCGACCTTTCAGAAATTGGCAGATCAGTTAAGCAATATAAATATGAAGTCTTGCACTTGTTCCTTGTGCCTAAAACATCTTCCCTCAGATATATGAGGGGGAATCCCCCCAAAATTGAATTTATAAAAAAAGTATATTTATTCTTATATATTTAAACTTCCGTCACCTTCAGAGTACTCTCTGTTTACTGCATTACACACCTATTCAGACACTTTTTCTACTGCTCAAAACAGTTTTTGAACTCATCAATTTTTATGCCTTTTAGTGCTTCTGCTGTTTTTTGTTTCATGTCTTCCACCTTGACAAAACTCCCTTTGAAGACTTTTTTCTTTCCGGGGAAACAACAAAAGAAATCACTTGGAGCAAGATCCTGCCCTGTGAATAGGGAGGGTAGGGAACCCTGTACTACAAGGAGCCCACCCTACAAAGAATAATTCCAGGTCTTTTGGGTCTCCCCTTGTATTATGAGTGGCTACGGTACTGAACAATGCAAATATAAAATATTTCCATCACAAAATTGTATCGATCAAGTCTTTTTTTTTTTTTGAGTTGGAGTCTCACTCCATCGCCCACCATCAATACCTGCTGGGCCCAGGCGATCCTTCTGCCTCAGCTTTCCAAGTAGCTGGAACTACAGGTGTGTGCTACCACCACCCAGCTAATTTTTTGATTGTAGAGATGAGGTCTTGCCAAGTTGCCCAGGCTGTTCTCAAACCCATGGGCTCAGGCAGTCCTCTCATTCGGCCTCCTAAAGTGCTGGGATTACAGGCTTGAGCCTGGACAACTTGGTGAGACCTCATCTCTACAATAAATTTTTAAAAATTAGCCGGGCTCGGTGGCTCAGCCTGTAATCCCGCGCCTTTGGGAGGCTGAGGTAAGTGGATTGCCTGAGCCCGTGGGTTCGAGACCCACCTGGGCAACTTGGCAAGACCTCATCTTTACAATAAATAAAAAATTAGCCAGGTGTGGTAGCGCACACCTGTAGTTCCAGCTACTTGGAAGGCTGAGGCGGAAGGATCGCCGGAGCCCAGCAGGTCGAGGCTGCGGTGGCCGGGAGTGGCCACTACACTCCAGTCTCGGCGACAGAGTGAGACTCCAACTCAAAAAAAAAAAAAAAAAAATTAGCTGGGTATGGTGGCGCATGCTTGTGGTTCCAGCTATTTGGAAGGCTGAGGGGAAGGATCAGGTTGAGGTTGCAGTTGAGGCTGCGGTGGCCGTGACCATGCCATTGCACTCCAGCCTGGACGATAGAGTGAGACTCCAATTCAAAAAATATACATATGCTATAAACACGGCATGGGAATAAAAAGTATGATATGAAGGAGATTCTTTTAATTCTAAGAAAATATATACTTTATAGCAATATGTTAGAAAATTTAAGTAACACTGCTGACTGTCCAGAAAGATGCGGACTTGCAAACCATGCAAGAAGAGGTGGATAGTTCAGAGAGACCAACAGTTTACCAAAGATTTGCTACCAACTGGGCATTAGGGCTAGATGGTTTTACAAGTTGAGTTCTAGCAAACCCTTCAAAGTGAAAATAAAAGGTCTCAGAAACCAGGCTGTGAGCAAAGGAGTATTGTTTTATTCACTATATCTCTAGCTCCTGGCAGAGCACCTGGCACATAGTAAAAACTAAATAAAAATGTGTTAAGTAACTATAAAAGGTTTTTTTGTTTTATTTTGTTTTTTAGTCACAGTCTCACTCTGTCACCCAGGATGGAGTGCAGGGGTACAATCACAGCTCACCGCAGCTTTGAACTCCTGGGCTCAAGCAGTCCTCCCACTTTGGCCTTTAAAAGTGCTGGGATTACAGGCATGAGCCACTGCACCCAGCCAAAAGGAACATTTCATGACAGTATCTGTATGTGTGTGTGTGTATAATTTTCAAAGAAAATGAAATATATATATATTTTTTGAGTTGGAGTCTCACTCTGTCGCCCAGGCTACTGCAGTGGCACACTCACAGCCACTGCAGCCTCAACCTGCTGGGTTCCCAAAGTGTTGGAATTACAGCCTTGAGCCACCATGCCCTGCCCTGAAAAATATTGTTAATTACAAAAACTGAATATTTCTGGAACAGTATTCATTTTTAGAGCCCCTTGAGTACAGAAGTAAAAACTTACTAATCAAGACTTGTGTTTAATTTATAAAAACTATTTCCTAGATGGGCATTATTGCTTATTAAACAATAAAATATGTGATATACAATCATACATTTAAAACATGGAAAGATAACCAATATCTTGATGTACATGAAGACAAACTTCAGGAGACAAACATTAAATATATCCCAAATAAATGGACCTGGATTTAGCTTACAAGTTGCTTAACTAGAAAAAGAATTAATGTTTAAGAAATATTTTCGGCCGGGCTCAGTGGCTCAGCCTATAATCCCAGCACTTTGGGAAGCAGAGGCCAAACTACCTGAGCCCGTGGGTTCGAGACCAGCCCAGGCAACTTGGTGAGACCTCATCTCTACAATAAATCAAAACATGAGCCCGACATGGTAGTGTACGCCTATAGTTCCAGCTACTTGAAAGGCTGAGGCATAAGGATCACCGGAGCCCAGCAGGTCGACGCTGCGGTGGCTGTGAGTGTTCCACGGCACTCAAGCCTGGGCAACAGAGGGAGACTCCAACTCAAAAAAAAAAAAAAGTTTCACTGATAGAAAGATAAATCTAACAAAACTAGTATGTAAAAACATACTGATTTACAAAGCCAGTATATCTCTTAGTTTTAATTCTTTTATACTCTAAATGAGGATCACATTAAATGAAAATAAAATATTAAAAGTTCATCAATGCTTAAAAGTCAGTTGCATTTCCTGACCCACCTGGGCAACTTAGTTAGACCTCATCTCTACAATAAATTAAAAAAAAAAATTAGCCGGGTGTGATAGCACGCGCCTGTAGTTCCAGCTACTTGGAAGGCTGAGGCGGAAGGATCGCTGGAGCCCAGCAGGTCGAGGCTGTGGTGGCCGGCAGCAGCCACTGCACTCCAGTCTGGGTGACAGAGTAAGACTCCAACTCAAAAAAAATAAAATAAATAAAATAAAATATAAGTCAGTTGCTCAAGTACTAGATAAAACTTCATATTATTTAAATGTATTCCCAGAACTGTGAATTGACATTTTTAATTTTATAATTGATCAACTGCTCTCTAAGGTTATGAACAATGGCAGGTATTACCACTAGATGTATGTCATTTGTTTCTCCTATTGCTTTTATCACTATAATACAGTATAAAACTTTCTCTTTTTTTGAGTTGGAGTCTCACTCTGTCACCCAGACGAGTGCAGTGGCCACTCCCGGCCACCGCAGCCTCGACCTGCTGGGCTCTGGCAATCCTTCCACCTCAGCCTTCCAAGTAACTGGAACTATAGGTGTGTGCAATCACGCCTGGTTAATTTTTTTTTATTTATTGTAAAGATGAGGTCTCGCCAAGTTGCCCAGGCGGGTCTCGAACCTGTGGGTTCAGACAATCCACTCACCTCAGCCTCCCAAAGCGCTGCGATTACAGGCTGAGCCACCGAGCCAGCTCAGTATAAAACTTTCAATCCTCTATTTCATGACCCTGTTTTCAAGCTAGTTAGTACCTTAAAAAAATAAAGTTCTAAATATAAAGTTGGTGGCTTAAGGCTCAGTAAAATGGTAATCAAACAACAGATGTGTCCTCATAGAGAATATGAAAGCCAAAGTTTTTTTTTTTTTGAGTTGGAGTCTCACTCTGTTGCCCAGACTGGAGTGCAGTGGCTGCTTCCAGCCACCACAGCCTTGACCTGCTGGGCTCCGGCGATCCTTCTGCCTCAGCCTTCCAAGTAGCTGGAACTACAGGTGCGCGCTACCACACCCGGCTAATTTTTTTGATTTATTGTAGAGATGAGGTTTCGCCTGCCCAGGCGGGTCTCGAATCCGCAGGCTCAGGCAATCCACTCACCTCAGCCTCCCAAAGGCGCGGGATTACAGGCTGAGCCACTGAGTCCAGCTGTTTTTTTTTTTTTTCTTTAGTGATTTTGCTTCATACTACTTTGTTCTGTCCATATTTTTTTTTTTCCAGTAAGAAAACCCCAATGAGATATAAAAGGATGGTGAATGGCCTCCAAACAATTGTTTTTGTTTATAAACCAAAAACCTTTGAAAATAAGTCTTAGTTCTGGCAGATTAAAGTATATTCTCAAAAATTCACATTTTCTTCAAAAAATTTCAACTGTTGAGCTTTCACACTGTAAGTTGAATACTTTTCACCCATATGCTCCCGCAAACGTACCTATTTGAGAGACAGATTAAAAGAAAATCAGTATGTAGTAGAAAAAACATTCTATAATCTTAGAAGGGCTTTCCTAGGTATGATACCAAAGGTGGATACCATACAGGAAAATACTAATAGTTCTGTTTATATAAAAAAATTTAAAAATTCAAGATTTAAAAAAAAAGTCATAAGAAATTAAGAGTAAACAATAAACTAGGGAAGATATTTGCAACTTTAATGCCAAAGGATTAATTAATAACATTAATATATAAAGAGTTCTTATTTATTTATTTTTATTTTTTTATTTTTTTTTGAGTTGGTGTCTCACTCTGTTGCCCACACTGGAGTGCAGTGGCCACTTCCGGTCACTGCAGCCTCGACCTGCTGGGCTCCGGCGATCCTTCCAAGTAGCCAGAATTACAGGCATGCGCTACCATGCCCTGCTGATTTTTTGATTTATTGTAGAGATGAGGTCTCGCTGCCCAGGCGGGTCTCAAACCCGTGGGCTCAGGCAATCCACTCACCTCAGCCTCCCAAAGGCGCGGGATTACAGGCTAAGCCACCAAGCCCGGCTAAGAGTTCTTAGAATAAAATAACTCAGTAAAATTAGAATTGATAGAACAACTAAATCCCATAGATAATTTGGCAAATCGAATTATATATGTATATAAAAATATAATTCCTATACATGTACAAAATAGTAATACCGATAACCAATTAGCAAACATGAAAGTCAACCTGACTGGTATTTTAAAAAAATATTGTGTGACACTCAGTATATGTCTGCTCAAATAATTGCTTAAAATTAAAATAACACCTCGTACCTCCTGATACACTGAGGGCACAACATCACTTCTGTGGTATTCCTGCCAAAAATGCATACCCAAAATCTATTCATGAGAAAACATCAGAAAAACCCAAACCAAGGGACATTTTATAAAACACATGGCCTGTACTCTTCAAAAATATTAAAGTCAAGAAAACCAAAGACTGAAGAAATGTTCCAGATTAAGAGACATAACACTAAATAAAAAATATAATCCAGCATGACAGCAAGGAGCTCTGCATACCCCCTATTCTCAAATGAACTGGTGGAAATCTTGTGGGTGATTTGGGAAGTATCTCCTCTTAATGTCTTCAGGAAGAATTTGTGTAGGTCTGGTATTTCTTTCTTAGATGGTTGGAAGAATCCAACAGTAATGCCATCTGGGCATGGAGCTTTCTTGAAGACAAGTTTTATTTTTTCTAGATGCTATGTTTAGGCTTTGTGTAAATGTTTAGAATATCCAAATTCATAGAGACAGAAAGAAATGGTGGTGGCCAGGGACTGGCGGGAGCAGGAAATGGGAAATTTTTCTTTAATGGGTATAATTTCAGTTTTACAAGGTGAAAAAGTTTTGAAGGCAGATAGTGGTGATAGTTGCACAACAATGTGAATGTACTTCATGCCACCAACCTGTACACTTAAAAATGGCTAAAATGGTAAATTTTAAGTTATGTGTATTTTACTACAATTTTTAAAAATGTATATATTATTGAGCTTATAACATAAATAAATGTAACATATTTGCCAATAATATAACAACAGAAGTAGGTGAGCCACCGCTCCTGGCCGTAATGTTGGTTTGACAACATTTACAGATGTGGTATGTATAATAATAATATCACAAGGGGAAAAGGGAATAGGAGTAATGTTTCTATATCTCATCAGAATGTAGTATAAATTGAAGCTAATTCTGGTAAGATGTATATGGTAGACCTTAGAGCAACCATTAAGGACATACCTAAAAAATATACAGTAAAAAAATTAAAGAAATTAAAATGTACATTGAATCAAATGTATTTCTATGCATGTGCAATGAGCAATCCCAAATGGATATAAGAAAATGCCGATTACAATAGCATCAAAAAGAATAAAATAATTAGAAATAAACTTAACAAAAGAAGTACAAAACTTATACTTGGCCAGGCTCAGTGGCTCAGCCTGTAATCCCAGCACTTTGAGAGGCCGAGGCAAGTGAACTGCCTGAGCCCGCGGGTTCGAGACCCACCTGTGCAACTTGGTGAGACCTCGTCTCTACAATAAATCAAAAATTAGCCAGGCATGATAGCGCACACCTGTAGTTCTGGCTACTTGGAAGGCTGAGGAAGAAGGATCGCCTGAGTCCAGCAGGTCGAGGCTGCAGTGGCCAGGAGCGTGCCACTGCACTCCAGTCTGGGTGACAGAGTGAAATGCCAACTCAAAAAAATAAAATAAAATACTTATACTCTGAAAATTATAAAACATTATTGAAAGCAATTAAAGATTAAATAAATGGAAACTATGTTCATGGATTAATACTGTTAAGATGGTGATACTCAAATTGATCTACAGATTGAACAAGAAATCTCTATCAGAATCCTAGGCTGGATTCTTTGTGGAAACTGACAAGCAAATTCTAAAATTCATATGAAATAGTAAGGGACTCAAAATAGTCACGATAGTCTTAAAAAAGAATAAAGTTGGAAGACTCACTTTTCCTGATTTCTTTTTTTTTTTTTTGAGTTGGAGTCTCACTCCGTCGCCCAGACTGGAGTACAGTGGCCGCTCCCAGCCACCGCAGCCTCGACCTGCTGGGCTCCGGGGATCCTTCCACCTCAGCCTTCCGAGTAGCCGGACCTACAGGCACACGCTACCACGCCTGGCTGATTTTTTGATTTATTGTAAAGATGAGGTCTCGCCAAGTTGCCCAGGCAGGTCTCGAACCCGCCAGCTCAGGCAATCCACTCACCTCAGCCTCCCAAAGCACTGGGATCACAGGCTGAGCCACCGACCCCGGCTACTTTTCCTGATTTCAAAACTGAGTATAAAGCAACAGCTTTAAACAAGACTGTGGTAGTGGCATGAAGACAGATATATAGAACAATGGAATACAATTGAGAGTCCAGAAATAAACCCATCTGTCTATAGTCAACTGATTTTGACGAGGTAAAAGAATGGTCTTTTCAACAATGGTAATGGGACAATAGGACAGTCACACATATAAGAATGAAGTTGGAGCTTTACAAAAATTAGCTCAAAATATGACCCAAAGACCTAAATGTAAGGACTAAAATCACAAACCTCTTAGATGTTGGAATATATAACCTCAGATCTGGCAATGGGACAGCAAGAAGTGATTGCTAATGGATACAAAGTTTCTTTGAGGGGGAATAAAAATGTTCTAGCATTGTGGTGATGATTGTACACTTGAGATAGGTGAATTGTGCGATATGTGAAAATGATGTTTAAAAAATTCTGTAACGTAAGTAGCTTGACACAGCTAATGGGACACTCACCTCTCTCTGCAATTCATCATCCTCTTCCAAAAGATCGTACACTTGCTCTAAAAGTTGAACCCCTAGGCCCCGAATTACATCAGCTCTCAAGACTTCAACTATTCTCCTGATCTTTTCAGAACCTGGCATAATAGCTAAAAAGCAATAGCAAAGAAGGAAAAAATAAGTACTTGTACTACTACAGCAAGAACATAATTTTTTTTTAAATTTTAATTTAGAGACAGGGTCTTGCTCTTAACTCTTGCCCAGGCTGGAGTGAAGTGGCATGATCATAGCTCACTGCAGCCTCAAATTCCTGGGTTCAAGAGATCCTCCCAAATTGGCCTCCCAAAGCACTGGGATTATAGGTGTGAGCCACCATGCCTAGGCTGTTTTGTTTTTTTTTTTATCTTAATTTGTGATATTAAAATTCTTTTTCCTTTGAAAAGAGTTCAGTTTAACATCTCCATTTGCATCTTAATGACTAAACATTTATATATGAACTTGAGCTTCATGTCTCACTATCATCTTTTAAACCTAAAAAAATCACAGTAACTGAAGAAAAATTCGTATGAAACACCCCCAAACATTTATCTACTTACATTTATTTTTAAAAATCAATTTTAGCCAGGCACAGTGGCCCATGCCTATAATCCCAGCGCTTTGGGAGGCCGAGATGAGAGGATTACCTGAACCGAGGAGTTCAAGAGCAACCTAGGCAACATAGCAAGACGTCATCTCTACAAAAAAATTAAAAAATTAACCAGGCATGGTGGGTTGGGCCTGTAGTCCCAGCTACTTGGAAGGCTGAGATGGAAGGATCACCTGAGCCCAGCAGGTTGAGGCTGCGGTGGCTGTGAGTGTGCCACTGCACTCTAACCTGGGTGACAGAGTGAGACTCTGGCTCAAAAAATAAATAAATTTTCATGCAATTTTTCAGAAATACATTTGTTGCATAAAACAAGATATGCCTTTTATGGAAACATCCAAATGAAATAATTTTTTAAAACCCCCCAAATTAATAGGCATTAGCTCCCTGATTTGACATATTTCTCCAATAAATACATGCTTTCCAGTTTTCTGTAAAAGAATAAACTAATCACCTGAAGGTAGCTCTTTAAAATGGAGTTCCTCTCCCTCTTCTGCAACTTTGCCATGAAGTACCAGTGTGTCCCGGTATTTCCGATGAAGTTTAAATTCTGACACTGAATTTGGTACTGGGAGATCTTCAGAGCTGTCTTTAGAATCCAGTTTCAGGGTCTGAGTCATCAATTGTACCAAGGTATTCATTTCATTTGTATGACCTTGTCTAAAAAAATTCCCTTGTTATTTAACTGGCTCCATGAGAATTTTTTTAATTAAAAAATTAGATGCCCAACCCCTTTGGGTCCCCTCCCACTGTGGGAGCTTTTTCTGTCCTCTCAATAAATCCTGCTTTCTCCAAAAAAAAAAAAAAAAAAAAAATTAGATGGAAGTCAAGCGTGGTAGCCCACGCCTATAATCCCAGCACTTTGGGAAGTAGAGGCAAGAGGATTTTGCCTGAGCTCATAAGTTCAATAACAGCCTGAGCAGCATGGCAAGACCTTGTCTCTACAATAAATCAAAAAATTAGCTGGGCATGGTGGTGCATGCCTGTAGTTCCAGCTACTTGGAAGGATGAAGTGGAAGGATCACCTGGGCCCAGCAGGTCAAGGCTGCAGTGGCCATGAGCGTGCCACGGCACTCCAGCTTGGGTGACAGAGTGAGATGCCAACCCCCCCAAAAAATAAAACTACCAGACATACACAGAAGCAGGAAGATATCACACATTTGTATAAAGAGAAAGAAATCAGTTAATAGACCCAAAAGTGACACAAATGATAAAATTAATAAATGGGGAAGCCGGGTTCGGTGGCTCAGCCTGTCATCCCGTGACTTTGGGAGGCTGAGGTGAGTGGATTGCCCAAACCCGTGGGTTTGAGACCCGCCTGGGCAGGCGAGACCTCATCTCTACAATAAAATCAAAAAATTAGCCAGGCATGGTAGCGCACGCCTGTAATTCCGGCTACTCGGAAGGCTGAGGCGGAAGGATCGCCGGAGCCCAGCAGGTCATGGCTGCGGTGGCCGGGAGCGGCCACTGCACTCCAGTCTGGGTGACAGAGTGAGACTCCAACTCAAAAAAACAAACGAACAAAAAAATAAATAAATAAAAATTAAAAAATAAAAATTTAAAAAAAAAATGGAGATTAAGTGGTTATTATAAATATACTCCATATGGCCAAGGTAGTGGAAAACATTGTAAGGAGAGGCACCGTAGGTATAAAAATAGACCCAAATCAAACTCCTAGAGATAAGAAGTAAAATGTGTTAAATACATGGAATAGGATTAACAGATTAGACACTGAAGAGGAAAAGATTAGTGAAATCAGAGATATAAAAATAGAGGCTATGAAATATGTAACAGAGAAAAAAGTAAAAATAATCAGTGAGCTGTGGGACAACTTTAAGCAGTCTAATATACATGTAATTGAACCAAGAGAGTAGGAAGAAATCCAAAAAATATGTGAAACAATAGTGGCCTAACTTTTTCTAAATCTGATGAAACTATATCCACAAATCTAAGAAGTCATTCTACAAGAATTATGAATGAAAATCAGATTTGTTCATAGAAGAGATATTTTTAGTTCTCACATATACCACAAGATATTTATAACTTTATCAATGAAAGTGCTACAGGATATGAATCCTACTGTAAATGTGTACACTTAAGATTAATTCAAACAGAAACAGTTTATAAAGGGAGGCAGAAAAAAAAGAACTTACCCTTCCCTGAAATCTCCATCTGACTTATCAGTTGAACTTGTAGAAGAACTTAACTCATCCTCAGACAGACAATGAATCAGCTTCCTTTCCTATTAACGTTTAGAAGAAACAAAATTCTACATGACAACACAACTAGAATGTAATACTTGAAACAGTCTTAGGTACAATTAGACACAATGGGCTTTAGGTGTAATTTAAAATAAGAAACTAACAACTATAAAAAGTGTTTCTGGCCAAGTGCAGTGGCTCATGCCTGTAATACCAGCACTTTGGGAGGGGGAGGTGAAAGGATTGCCTCAGCCCAGGGGTTCGAGTCCAGCCTGGGCAACTTGACAAGACCTTGTCTCTATACAACAAATAAAAAAAAATTAGCCGGGCATGGTGGCACACACCTGTGGTTCCAGCTACTTGGAAGGCTGAGGCAGAAGGATGACCTGAGCCCAGCAGGTTGAGGCAGCAGTGGCTGTGAGCATGCCACTGCACTCCAGCCTGCATGATAGAGTAAGACTCCAACTCAAAAAAAATAAATATTTCCGATTAGATTGGTGGTAAAAAGAAAAAAAAAACGCTGAAGTTACTTTATCCATATGCTATCCCTGTTCACTCATGAAGTTCAAAGAAGCCTGAGGAACATCAAGGTAAAATTTTATAAGGGCCCTGGAGAGTCTCAGCTGTGAAGAAATTTCCTTTCCAGAGGAAAATGAATGACTAGTTCTGGTGTTTTGACTCCTAATCAGAGGGTTTTCCCCATAGAAATACTGGCATTTTTAACTAGATAGAATGCTACCTAAATCAAGGCAATCTCAGCTTGCTTTATTTATTTATTTATTTTTTTAGATGAGGGTCTTGCTATGTTGCCCAGCCTGGCCTCAAACTCTAGGATTCAAGCAATCGTCCCTCCTTTGCCTCCCAAGTGCTGGAATTATATGCACACCTTACCACATTCAGCTTTAGCTTACTCTAAAAATGTGACACTGGTAAAGTGCTTTAAAAAATTGCCTGATATAATTACAAACCTTATAACTTTGTAAAGTGGAGAGGGCAGCCTCCATTAATGAAATAAGTAAATTATATTGTTAAAGAAATAATATCTTGGCTGGGCATGGTGGTTCACACCTATAATCCTAGCACTTTGGGAGGCTGAGGTGTAAGGGTCACTTGAGCCCAGGAGTTCAAGACCAGCCTGGCAATAGTACAGTGAGACCTTGTCTCTACAAAAAAACAAAACAACTGCACTCCAGTCTGGGCGACAGAGTGGAACTCCAACTCAAAAAAAACCCAAAAAAAACCAACATTAACAGGGTGTGGTGGTGCACACCTGTAGTTCTAGCTACTTGGGAGGCTGAAGCAGGAGGATCATTTGAGCCCAGGAGTTTGAGGCTAGGGTGAGCCATGATTATGTCACTGTACTGCAGTCTGGGTGACAGAGTGAGACCCTGACACAAACACACAGAAAAAAATTTTAAAAAGGAATATCTTCATTACTTTCAGAGGGCAGGACAAATTAATTCCCAAGTATAATACCTTGGACATGGGTTAGAAACCAGCAATTACCCATTTAACCACCAGATGGTGTCACTATATCATCCACAGACAAGAAGGTAAACTGTATTGACACAAACAGGAAACAGGAATGATTAGCAAGTAAGACTAAAATCTCGCCACATAGATGGGTATATCGGTATCACAGCAGAATAAGCAAAGCAATACGCAAAGCACTGCCTAGTGGAAACCCTCAAGAAGTCTTGTTTGTTTGTTTGTTTGTTTTTGAGTTGGAGTCTCACTCTGTCACCCAGGCTGGAGTGCAGTGGCATGCTCACAGCCTCAACCTGCTGAACTCAGGTGATCCTTCTGCCTCAGCCTTCCAAGTAGCTAGAACCACAGGTGCATGCCTGACTAATTTTTTTGATTTACTGTAGAGACAAGGTCTTGCCAAGTTGCCCAGGCTGATCTCGAATCCCTGGACTCAGGCAACCCTCTCGCCTCCATCTCCCAAAGTGCTGAGATTATAGGCATGAGCCACCATGCCCAGTCAGAAATATTTTAAATTATTCTGCCAATTGTTTACAAGAGTGCCTGAACATTTTTTTTTTTTTGAGTTGGGGTCTCACTTTGTTGCCTTGGCTGGAGTACAATGGCACAATCATGGCTCACTGCAGCCTCCACCACCTGGGCTCAGGCAATCTTTCCATCTCAGCCTCCCAAGTAGCTAGGACTACAGATGTGCACTACCACACCTGACTAGCTTTTGTAATTTTTTTGTAGAGACAAGATCTTGCTATGTTGCCCAGGCTGGCCTCAACCTCCTCAGCTCAAGCAATCCTCCCGCCTTGGCCTCCCAAAGTGCTGGGATTACAGGCATGAGCCACTGCACCTGGCCTAGTTCCTTTCTATATCAAGAGTAAAAAGATGTAACCTGAGCTGACCCTGTCCCAGAAATAATGGAGCTGACATTTATAAGGTTTACTGTAGTAGACTTGCTAGATTAAGACATGTCCACATTTTCCCTTAGGAGTGTGTAATGTGTAACTGTACCTGAGCAATGCTGCAGTTGGAGAATGGTCGGGCAGGGATGGGCTGGCCTTCCTCCTGTGGTTTCCTTGGCCCTGCTGCATTCAGAGAAGCTCTACTCACTGAAGGGCCTGAAAAACCAAACACCTCCAGCAATGGTTAGTGGTAGGCTGGCCTCAATTAAAGAGGACTTTGTACTGGGTATGGAGCATACCCCAGCAAGGTTCAGGGCAGAAATAACTCAAACAGCATATTGATTATTACTCTTATATCTGATACTTCAGTTAAAATCTTAGCTCTGAGTCTACCAACTCTGTGACCTTAGGCAAATTACTTAACCTCTCAGAGCCCCAGTTTCCTCAGCTGCAAAATGGGAACAATGCTGCCTGCCTTTGGCAGTTATTGTAAACATGAAATTAGATAATATCCTTAAGATGTTTACCATCATACTTGAGACATGGTCCACATTCAATAAATGGAAACTGCTGGTACTAGTATTCTCTTTAGAGAATAATAATAGGAATGACCACAAACCTCAGCAGCACCATTCCCCCAGCTTCCTCTGTTCCCAAGAAGAGAGCAATTCTCTGACCAGCAAACTCTGAACATGGAAATATTCATTTGATTTCCAGTCTGACATCTTTCAGGAGTCATTGCCATTCAAAGCCTTCTCGCTGTCTTTTTAATATCCTTTTGATGATATATGTTCCAGATTCATCAGTCTATGATAATTTCTTAAAAGGCTCAACTAAGAAATTTCAAAAGCTCTTCCAAGTCGACTTTCCAAATGGATTACTGCTGTTTTAAAGTCTTAACACCTCCCAATCAGAAGCAGTTGACAAGCTATACCAACAATTGCCAATTTGATGAAGAAAAGAGGTCAAGTTTACCTGAGGGGAACATCTCTTCCTGTAACTGTTTCAGTCGCCTCCTCTCTCTGGCTGATAATGGTCGATCCTTTTAAAGAAAGTCACACAGTCATTTCCATTCCTATTCACTATTTTTCTAACACCTACAAAGCTTGCTATATCATCCAGCATTAAGAAAAAGGCATTGCACTGGCTTTCTTTTTTTCTTTTTTTTTTGAGTCTCACTCCATCGCCCAGGATGGAGTAGAGTGGCACACTCACGGCTACCCTAGCATTGACCTGCTGTGCTCCGGTGATACATCCGCCTCAGTCTTCCAAGCAGTCAGAACTACCAGCGTGTGCTACCACACCCAGCTAATTTTTTATTTATTGTAGAGGCAAGGTCTCACCAACTTGCCCGGGCTGGTCTCGAACCCGCAGGCTTAGGTAATCCACTCACCTTGACCTCCCAAAGTGCTGCACTGGCTTTCAAAGGAGTATCTATTGAAAACCAGTCCACATTACAATTACAGTTACTAGCAAGAAATTATCATAGTCCTTGTTTCTGGGAGGTGCTCATTTCTGAATGGGCAAATGAGGACTTTCACTCACATTTCCTATATTCAGAATCTACTTGGTCTCCTTAAGTAACTGGAAGTGACCATCATTTCCACAAATCTGTCCATTTCAATCAAAGCTTCTGCTGGAAATCACAAACCTGCCCCTTCCAGTGTTTGGCAAAAAGCAGGGCTGAGATGTTTTAATACAAAACTTTACAACGAAAACTTTACAATGTATACAGGATTTTACAACCACAAATCTCTATAAGGTCCTTTAAAAATCCAGCATATGATCCCACAAACCTTTGATGATGATATCTCACTGCTCCTCGAACTGATCACAGACCCAGCAACCATTCTACTTTGGTTTTCAGCATCTTTTTGTGTTGCCATGATATCCACTTTTCCAACAATAGGATGTGAAGGCAAAAGTTGAGGAGGTGACTCTTGGAACTTAAATAATTAAAAAAGCAGGGGGATTATCAGCCACCTCTAAAGTTCCTCCATCAGCAGGTTCTCTGTGTATTTGCCTATGTATTTGTCAGTGATTTGCTCTTTAAAACTTCAAAACATTGTATTTTTAAAAAAGACTCTGCCAAAAGTAAATCGTCTAAGAAGTTTATGGAAATAAGCTTATCTGTGAAAGTTACTTCAAGAAATGATGTGTCAACATGATTTCACACAAAAGATAAGAACTGTTCATCAGTATAATATAAAAGGTGTCAAAGGTTTACCCTCATCAACCTGTTCCTTTAACTCTCAAAATGATCTGTCTATCTTAGTTAGGGAAGATAAAATCCTTACTCTGCTTCCAACTCACTGGTATTTGAAAATTAATATGTAGCATCCTGCCATTGCCACCATTCTCCATGTGTTCTTGCATTTCCTACGTGTCTTTCTGGCAACTGCTAATTGTTCTAAATAGAAACTGAGTTTCCCAAAGACTATCTTGCAAACAGCAGCACAATGACTTATTGCAAAGAGATCTCTGCCAACCTGTCTCTTTTTCCCACTGTGCTCAGTCTGTTCTTTCTTCTGCCGCCGCTGTCGAGACAAGGAAGGTTCAGATGCAGAGCTGTGTGGCTGTAAACCCTGGTAAATTCTGTCCTGTTTTTCTATAATATATTCATCAGCAACTTGATCCTTAAAAATAATAAAATGGTATTTTAAAGTATAGCAGCAACCTGGTACATTATAACCCAAAGTAAGTAGACCATAAAAAATGGTTTTTATCTTCAGCATGAAAACTTTCCAGTTTTAAAAACTGCTTCCTTTCTATAATTTGAGGTGTTGCATAGATTCTAAACTGATACATTATAATGTAAAGTGCATAGCATGGTTCAAAAGTAACTGCAGAATTGAATATGGAGACATGCACAAATTTCCTCTTAGAAAACAAGAGGAGCTATCATTTCAAATTTTGGTGCAATTACATTAAATCATAATACAACAGTCAAAAAAATAAAATAATAAAAATAAAAGCAAACATACACATAAAAAACACAGAATAATGAAATAGACTTCTGAATTTCTAAGTGGCCATATCTTCCATGCCTACTCTTCAAATTGTAAATGAGGAGGTGTTATATTTCTTTGAATGAATATTTATTTGCAGTATTGACAGGCAAAGATAAAATGCTGACATTAGTTATCTGAGTTTTTCTCTTCCCCCCAAAATAATTGTTTTAATTAAATTACTAAAATTGTGATTAACCTGAAACTAGTGATGTTTGATTCAGGTTTTTTTTTTTAAATCTCTTTGTCACTTTTAATATGTTTTCTACTGAAAATGAACACATGTCTTACGTGAACACCAATTTAACATACATTTATTTCCCAAGTAAATTTCAATTATTTGGATGCACCCCAAAAAGCACAATTAAAAAAGCACTGAATTTGGCATTAGAGTCATGTGAAAAATTTAATCTCCCTGGGCCCAGGTTCTTCATCTAAAAATGGATCTAGTGTCCCTTCCTTCATTATATTACTGTGTGGGTATTAGCTAAGATGATACACTAATATATGTCTGGCATATATTAATTTTATGCTCAAAAAATGGGAGCTGGCCAGGTGCAGTGGCTCATGCCTATAGTACCAGCACTTTGGAAGCCCGAGGCAAGAAGATTGCCTGAGCCCAGGGTTCAAGACCAGCCTGGGCAACTTGGTGAGGCCTCATCTCTACAATAAACCAAGACATCAAATAAATCAAAACATCCTTAAGATGTTTACCATTATGCTTGAGATATGGTCCACATTCAACAAATGGAAACTACTAGTACTAGTATTCTCTTTAGAGAATAATAGGAATGACCACAAACCTCAGCAGCACCATTCCCCCAGCTGTGGTAGCACATGCCTGTAGTTTCAGCTACTTGGAAGGCTGAGGTGGAAGGATCACCTGAGCCCAGTAGGTCAAGGCTGTGGCGGCTGCGAGTATGCCACTTGCACTCCAACCTGGGTGACAGAGTGAGACTCCGACTCAAAACAAAACAAAACAAAACAAAACAAAACAGGGAGCTATTGATAGCAAATTACCTTTTAAGTTGTAAAAGTCACCAGAGACTTACTATTTTATTTGGAGAGCTGGTTCTAGAAACCAATGCATACCAAACATTTTTTCAAAATAGATTCTCGCATTTCTTTTTTTTCTTTCTTTCATTGTTGACTGATTGACTGGTCTTGCGATGTTGCCCAGGCTAGTTTCAAACTCCTGAGCTCAGGAGCCTATTGCCTCAGTCTCACAAGTAGCTGGAACTACAGGCACATCCTACCATGCCTGGCTGATTCTTGAATTTATTTTTAAAAATGTTTAACTATCAGAATATCTAGGTTTTCAAATAGATAGACACTGTAATTGAGTATCAGTCAACACATTTTTAATCAAGAACCTGCTATGTGGTACATTTTAGAAATAAAAATGAACAGTGTGATAATAATACAAGGTAAAATTGCATTCTAAAAGCCATAGTCTCCAGCAAACACAAAAGTGTAGGTAAAACAATTTGTAAATTTATTCTTTCACAAGCATACCTAAAGCATAGCTAATATTGAATATAAAGTAAATGATTAATTTTTCAATATTATTAAATAAGAATCTAACTGAACATGGAGACCAAAATAATACACCACAGATGACCCAATTATGAAGAGGAAAATAAATGATTCTGTACTGGTAATAAGTACAGGGTGTTCAAAATACAGCTTACGTATTTTGGGAAAAATAACTTAAGGAGCTTCTCCACGAAATCCAAATGGTCCTGAAAAAAAGTTCTCCCACTTTTATGAAGAAGAAAAAATAACAATAACAACAAAAAGGTAGAGGAATTGCTGAACATGAAATTCTATCAAACAAAAAAAAAATCTGCACTAAAAGCTTGGTGACTCAGCCTATAATCCCAGCACTTTGGGAAGCCTAGGCGAGTGGATTGCCTGAGTCCACGGGTTTGAGACCCACCTGGGCAACTTGGCGAGACCTCATCTCTACAATAAATCAAAAAATTAGCCGGGCATGGTAGCGCGCGCCTGTAGTTCCAGTTACTTGGAAGGCTGAGGCAGAAGTATTGCTGGAGCCCAGCAGGTCGAGGCTGCAGTAGATGGAAGTGGCCGCTGCACTCCAGCCTGGGCAACAGAGTGAGACTCCAACTCAAAAAAAAAAATTATTTTTAGAACCAATAAGCAAGGTTGCAGAATACAAGAACATTTAAAAAATCAGTTGTATTTCTATACATGGACAGTGAACAATCTGAAAATGAAATTATGAAAACAATTCTATTTGCATCAAAAAGAGTAAAATTCTTAGAAATAAATCTAACAAAATAAGTGTAAGGATAGTACAGCGAAAACAACAAATATCACTGTAAGAAATTAAAGAAAACCTAAATAAATGGAAGGACATCCTATATTCATGGATTGGAAGACATATTATGATAGCAATACTCTGCAAATGATCTACAGATTCAAAGCAATCCCTATTAAAATCTTAGCATTTTTTTCAGAGTTTGACAAGCTGATACTAAAATTCACACAAAAATGTAGAGTACTCAAAAATAGCCAAAACAATATTGAAAAAATAAGAATGGAAGCTCAAAGACTCATACTTCTGAATTTCAACACTTACTAAAAAGCTACAGTAATCAAGACAGTGTATTATTAGGACAAACATAGATCAATGGAGCAGAATTGAGAGGCTAGAAATAAGCTATTATATTTATAGTTTGCAGATTTTCAACAGAGTACCAACACAATTCAATATGAAAAGAATAATCTTTTCAACAAATGGTGCTGTGACAACGAGTTATTCACATGCAGAAAGAAGAATGAAGCTGAATACCTTCTTCATACCATACACAAAAATCAACTCAAAATGGATGACAGACATAAAAGTAAGAGCTAAAACTATAAACACTTAGAAGAAAATATGACACCAAAAACACAAATCACAAAAGAAAAAATAAACAAAATTGGATTTCATCAAAATTTTAAAAACTTTTGTACTTCAAAGGACACCACCAAGAAAGTAAAAAGACAACCTACAGAGTGGGAGACTATTTTCAAATGCTATATCTAATGAAGGACTGGTATCTAGAGTATATAAAGAACTTTTAGAATTCAACAATAAAAAGATAAATAAAACCAATGTAAAACTGGCAAAGAATCTGAATAGATCATTTTTCCAAAGGAGGTACACAAATGACCAAAAAGCATTTAAAAAATGCTCAACCTCATTTGTCACTAGGGATGTGCAAATCACAACCACTTCACACCTACTAGGATGGCTATGATCAAAATGACAGATAATAACAAGGGCTGGCAAGAATGTAGAGAAACTAGAACCCTCATATATTGCTGGTGGAAATAAAATGATACAGCTTCTTTGGGAAAATGGCTTTGTAGTTCCTCAAAAAGTTATACACAGAGTTACCATATGACTCAGCAATTCTACTCCTAGGTATATACTTAACAGAGCTGTAAATATATGTTCACACAAAAATTTGTATTCAACTGTTCATAGTGGCATTATCCACAGCAGCCAAAAGGTAAAAACAGCCCACCTTTTTTTTTTTTTTTTTTTTTTTTTGAGTTGGAGTCTCACTCTGTCACCCAGACTGGAATGCAGTGGCCGCTTCCGGCCACCGCAGCCTCGACCTGCTGGGCTCTGGCGATCCTTACGCCTCAGCCTTCCGAGTAGCCAGAATTACAAGCACGCGTGCTACCACGCTCGGCTGATTTTTGATTTATTGTAGAGATGAGGTCTCGCCAAATTGCCCTGGCAGGTCTCGAACCCGTGGGCTCAGGCAATCCACTCACCTCAGCCTCCCAAGGCACAGGATTACAGGCTGAGCCACCGAGCCCAGCATCCCATCTTTTGATGATAGCTAAAACACCATATATAAATACTGTGGAAATTATTTGGCAATAAAAAGAAATGATATACTAGTACACCTTACATCATTGATAAAACTTGAAAACATTAAGCTAAGTAAAAGAAGCCAGACACAGAAGGCCATAAATGGTATGATTCCACTAACGTGAAATGTTCAGAATAGGCAAATCCATAGAGACAAATATTGCCAGGGTTGTGTAAAGAAGGAATGGAGGGTACCTGTTATAAGTTACTGGGTTTTTTTTTGGGGTAATGAAAATATTCTTCTGGCCGAGCTTGGTGGCTCAGCCTGTACTCCCAGCACTTTGGGAGATCGAGGTGAGTGGATTGCCTGAACCTGTGGGCAACTTAGCGGGACCTCATCTCTACAATAAATCAAAAATTAGCCAGGTATGGTAGCACACACCTGTAGTTCTGGCTACGTGTAAGGCTGAGGCAGAAGGATCGTGAATGTGCCACTGTACCCAGTCTGGGCGACAGAATGAGACTCCAACTCAAAAAAAAAGAAAAAAAGAAAATATCCTTCTATGCTTAAACTGAGACACAGAACAACTGATGTTCCTAAACAACACCTAGAGCATAACCAAAACACAAGCCACACATTTATAACCGCTTTCCAGTCCTCTCTCTAAAACTAATGCCATGTGTGCATTTCACTCACCTGGTCCCTTGGCTTTTGGTCTTTGATTGGGTGCTGCAAAGGTTTCCCTGGTTCATTCTTTTCCCCAGTGACAGTGTCAGAGGACCAAGTAGGAATCAGGTGTTTAGGCTGAACACTGGATATAGTGTTATCCTGCAGCATCTCCTCTTTCACTTGAGAAATACTGCATTTATCTGCTAATTTATTAGAGGCATCCATGTGTCTTTGTTGATTTTCCTGAACTAAGCCATCACTCATTGAGTTCCTCCTTTCTGCAGGTAAAATGTCAATATTTACCCTACTGATTGTGGCTAGTTCTGTAGCATTGCTCAAGTTTTGTTTGCAGGTATGGGCTTTCAGACAGGAAGGTAACTTCAAGGAACCAACAACCACAGGTTTCTCCTGGGACAAACAATTGTCTTCACCCTGAATGGAAACATGTTTCCAAATTATTATGGCAATCCTCACACCATATACAAAAATCAACTTAAAATGCAACAATATGTTCCTAAAAACGTTAAACACAGAATTACCACATGATCTAGCAATTCTACTCCTAGGTATATACTCCAAGGAATTGAAGGCAGAGACTGAAACAAATATTTGTACACCAATGTTTATAGCAGCATTAGCCAAAAGGTGGAAACAATTCAAATGTCCATCAGCAAATGAAAGGATAAACAAAATGTAATAAATATATACGTGGAATATTACTAACTCATCAAAAGGAATGAAATGCTGATAATGCTACAAACATATGAACCTTGGAAACATGCTAAGTTAAATAAGCCATACCAAAAAAAGTCAAATATTGCATGAATACACTTATATGAAATATCTGGACTGGGTAAATTCTAGATGAGAGGTTACTAGGTCCTGAGGAAGGGGGAATAGAGTTATTGCTCAATGGGTACAGAGTTTCTGTTTGTAATGATGAAAGGGTTTGGGGAGATAGTGGTGATGGTTGCATGGCACTTTGATTTTTTTTTTTAGTTGGTGTCTCACTCCGTCGCCCAGGCTGGAGTACATTGGCACACTCATGGCCACCCCAGCGACGACCTGCTGGGCTCAGCCAATACTTCTGCCTCCAGCCTTCAAAGTAGCCGGAACTACAGGCGCGTGCTACTGTGCCCAGCTAATTTTTTATTTATTGTAGAGACAAGGTCTCACCAAGTTGCCCGGGCTGGTCTCAAACCCATGGGCTCAGGCAATCCACTTGCCTTGGCCTCCCAAAGTGCTGGGATTACAGGCTGAGCCACTGAGCCCAGCTGGCACTATGATTTTAATTAAGGACAGTGAATTATTCAATTAAAAATGGTTACAGACCTGGTGTGGTGGCTCAGAACTTTGGGAGGCTGAGGTGAGAAGATTGCCTGAGCCCACGGATTCGAGACCAGACCGGCCAACTTGGTGAGACCTCATCTCTATAATAAATCAAAAAATCAGCCAGGCGTGGTAGCATATGCCTATAGTTCCAGCCACATAGAAGGCTGAGGCGGAAGATCTCCTGAGCCCAGCAGGTCGAGGCTGTAGTGGCCTTGAGTGTGCCACTGCCCTCCAGCCTAGGCAACAGAGTGAGACTCCAACTAAAAAAAACAAAACAAAAACAAAAATGGCTACAATGTGATCAAGTGAGCTTTATTCTTGCAATGCAAGAAGAGCTCAACACGTGAAAATCGATCAATGTAACAGACCACATGAATAGAATGAATGACCACATGCTTTTCCCAATTAATGCAGAAAAAACATTTGACAAAATTCAACACCTTATGTGATAATTTTTAGGGCTATTAAAGAAAATCACTCCTTCTTTTTTTTTTTGAGTTGGAGTCTCACTCTGTCGCCCAGACTGGAGTGCAGTGGCCGCTCCCAGCTACTGCAGCCTCGACCTGCTGGGCTCCAGCGATCCTTTTGCCTCAGCCTTTCGAGTAGCCGGAATTACAGGTGCGCGCTACCACACCTGGCTGATTTTTTGATTTATTGTAGAGATGAGGTATCGCTGCCCAGGCGGGTCTCGAACCCGCGGACTCAGGCAATTCACTCACCTCAGCCTCCCAAAGGCGCGGAATTACAGGCTGAGCCACCAAGCCCGGCAGAAAATCACTCTTTCATGATAAAAAATTTCAATAAACTAGAAATAGAAGAAAACTATCTCAATATCACAAAGCTCATATATTAAAACACTCACAGTAAATATTACATTTAATGATAAAAGACTGAAAGCTTTTCCTATAAGATCAGGAACAAGGCAAGGATGCCTACTTTTGCCACTTCTATTCAGCATAGTACTGGAAGTTCTAGCCAGAGCAAGAAAGGCATGAAAAAGAAATAAACGACATCAAAACTGAAAAGAAAGAAGTAAAATTATTTCTTTTTGCAGATGACATGATCTTATATATAGAAAACTCTAAGATCCTACACACAGTCAGGTGTGGTGGCTCATGCCTATAATACCAGCACTTTAGAAGGCCAAGGTGAGAAGATTGCCTGAGCTCACAGGTTTGAGACCAGCCTGGGCAACTTGGTGAGACTTCTCCTCTACAATAAATCAAAAAATTAGCCAGGCATGATGGCGGGTGCCTGTGGTTCTAGCTACTTTGAAGGCTGAGGTGAAAGGATCACCTGAACTCAGCAGGTTGAGGCTGTGGTGGCTGTGAGCATGCCACTGCACTCCAGCTGAGGCAGCAGAGTGAGACTCCTACTCAAAAAAACTCCCACACACAAAAACTTTTGGAATAAATGAATTGAGCAAACTTGCAAACTTGCAAGAGGCAAAGTCAACACACACACACAAAGTCAGTTGCATTCCTATACATTAACAATAAGCAATCTGAAAAGCAAATTACAAAAGCAATTCCATTTACAATAGCATCAAAAAGAATAAAATATTTAGGAATTAACTTCACCAAAATGCAAAAGACATATAGTGAAAACTGCAAAATGATGCTGAAAGAAATTAAAGATGTCTTAAAAAATGCAAACACATCCCATGTTCATGGATTAGAAGATTTAATATTGTTCTTTTCTTTTTTCTCTTTTACAATTAGTCATCTTCTTAAGATGATTTAATACTGCTAAGATGTCAATATTACCCAGAGAAATCTATAGATTCAGTGTAATCCCTATCAAAATGCCAATGACATTTTCTGCAAAACCAGACAAATCTATCCTAAAATTCACATTGAATTTCAAAGGATCCCAAATAGCCAAAACAACCTTGAAAAAGAAAAAAAGAGATGGAGGACTCATACTTCTTGATTTCAAAACTTATTACATGGGAGGCTGAGGTGAGGGGATTGCCTGAACCCATGGGCTCGAGAACAGCCTGGGCAACTTGGCGAGACCTCATCTCTAGAATAAATCAAAAAATTGGCCAGGAATGGTAGCGCACACCTGTAGTTCCCACTACTTGGAAGGCTAAGATGGAAGGGTTGCCTGACCCCAGGCAGGTCGACACTGGGGTGGCCATGAGCATGCCACTGCACTCCAGCCTGGGCAACAAAGTGAGACTCCAACCCCCCCCTCAAAAAAAAAAACTTACTACAAAGCTACATAATCAAAACAGTGTAATACTGGTCTAAAAACAGACATAGAGACCAAAGGAATAGAATAGGGAATGCAGAGATAAATCCTCACATATACAATCAAATAACTTTTGACAAGGGTGCCATTCAATGAGGAAAGGACAGTCTTTCCGACAAATAGTGCTGAGAAAACTAGATATCTACATAAAAAGAATGAAGTTGGACCCTTACCTAATAGTACATACCAAAAGAATTCAAAATGGATAAAAGACCTAAATGTAACAGCAAAAACTGTAAAACTCTCAGAAGAAAACATAAGGCAAAAGCTTCAAAACAATGGATTTGGCAGTTATTTCTTGGATATGACAACAAAGGCAAAGGCAACATATGAAAAAAACAAATAGGATTTCATTAAAATTAAATATTGTGTGCATTAAAAGATACTATCAACAGAGTAAAAAGGCAACCCACAGAATGGGAAAAAATATCTGCAAATCATTTACCTGATAAGAGATTGATATCCTTAATACATAAGAATTCCTAAAATTCAACAACAAAAAATGTACAACTCAACTCAAAAATGGGCAAAGTACTTGAATAGATATTTCTCTAAAAAAAGATGTACAATGAATGGCCAATAAGTACATGAAAAATGCTCAACATCAGTAGTCATTAGGGAGATGCAAATCAAAATGACAATGCAATACCAGCTCACACCCATTAGGATGGCTATTAACAAAAAATCCCAGAAAAATAACAAGCGTTGGGGAAAATGTAGAGAAACTAGAACATTTGTATACTGTTGATAGGAATGTAAAATGGTACAGAAGCTGTGGAAAATAGTATTTCAAAAAGTTAAAAATAGAATTACCATATGAGTCAGCAATTCATTTCTTATCTTTTTTGAGTCGGGGGTCTCACTCTGTCACCCAGGCTGGAGTACAGTGGCACACTTATGGCCACTGCAGCCTTGACCTGCTGGGTTCAAGTGATCCCTCCACCTCAGCCTTCCAAGTAGCTGGAACTACAGGCACACGCCACCATGCCTGGCTAATTTCTTTTGATTTACTGTAGAGATGAGGTCTTGCCAAGTTGCCCAGGCTGATCTTGAACCAGTGGGCTCAGGCAATCTCTCACCTCGGCCTGCCAAAGTACTGGGATTATAGGGGTGAGTCAACATGCCTGGCCCACTTCTAATTATATACTCAAAAGAATTGAAATTAGTGTCTTGAAGAGATATATGTATATCCATGTTTATAGCAGCATTATTAATAATAGCCAAAAGGTGGAAACAACCCAAATGTCCACCAATGGATGAATGGATAAACAAATTGTGGTGTATCCATGCAAGGAAAGATTAGTCAAACCTAAAAAGAAACAAAGTATTGATACATGCTACATGTTGAAAATATGCTGAGCCGGGCTGGGTGGCTCAGCCTGTAATCCCGCGCCTTTGGGAGGCTGAGGGGAGTAGATTGCCTGAGCCCGCAGGTTCGAGACCTGCCTGGGTAGGCGAGACCTCATCTCTACAATAAAATCAAAAAATTAGCCAGGCGTGGTAGCCCGCGCCTGTAGTTCCAGCTACTCGGAAGGCTGAGGCGGAAGGATCGCCAGAGCCCAGCAGGTAGAGGCTGCGGTAGATGGAAGTGGCCACTGCACTCCAGTCTGGGCGACGGAGAGAGACTCCAACTCAGAAAAAAAAAAAGAAAGAAAGAAAATATGCTAAGTGAAAGAAACTAGACATAAGAGGTCACATATTTTATGATTCCACTTATATGAAATATCCACGATAAAGACACAAAATACATTGGTGGTGCTAGGGATTTGGTGAAGGAGAAAATGGGAAGTGACTGCTTAATGGGTAGGGGTGTCCTTTGCAGTGGTAAAAATGCTTTGGAACTAGATAGAAGTGATGGTTACACAACACTGCATGTAACTAACTGCACTTAATTGTTCACTTTAAAATGGTTAGTTTATTTTTTTAATTAATTTCTTTTTTCCTTTTTTTACAACCAAAACTGAGTTGCACAAAATAATTAATTTTGTGTAACACAAATTTCACCTCCAACATTCTTAAAGTTATTACGGCATTGACATCATGAACAATTTGACAACCCAATTTGGATAAAGTGAGCTAAATGAATCATCTTCGCCAGTATTCTTTCTTTACAATACAGAATTGTACAATAGAATCTCTAGTAAAGCATAATTATTTCACATAAAATAATTTGCTTAGACAGACTATTTTTTAAAGTGCAGTTTCTAAAACGTGTACCTTTTAAACAGAAACGTACCATTCTATATGTTTTGGAGACCTCGGAAGAATGTGGCTGGGGGTGGATTACTTCATGATTTGACTCTGCCTTTCCACAAATCACTGTAGCAACAGGTTTGGATTTAAAGTCACCATTTTTAATGTTGTTTTTGGAGGTTTTTCTTTATGAAGAAGAAAAGAAGGACGAGTTGTTATCAATAAATTGAAGATTAAGTGTTTTTTATTACATGGAAATGTGTGTATACCTTACATTCCCTCATAGAACTATACCATTCATAAAGAATAATTTTCTAACAATCTAGGGGGCATTCTACAAAATATCTTTGAAACAATCAAGGTCATACAAAACAAAGAAAGCGAGAAACTATCACAGACCAGGATTAAGTGTAATGTGATATCCTGGATTGGATCCTGGAACAGAAAAAGGACGTTAGAGAAAAAAATTGGTGAAAGTCAAAGTCTGGAGTTTAATCAATAGTAATGTTCCAATGGTGGTTTCTTAGTTTTACAAAAGCACCATAGTAATGTAAGATGTTAATAATAGAAGAAAGAATATACAGGAATATACAGGAGTTCTCTGTATTATCTTGCAATTTTGTTAATATAAAATTATTCCAAATAAAAATTCTATGGAAAATTGTCTCACATACACAAGTACCAGAATAAGCTTCATTTTTAAGTTTCACATGTTTATAAAACCACAATTGCTCGGACAAATTTGAGAGGAAAAATGATGGGTATACTCAGTCCTGACTTGCAGGATAAGTATACACAGGAATAATATGTCCAACTGTTTTACTGTGTCATTTCTAAAGCTGAGCTAACCCTCTGGAGAATCCAAGGGGCGCGTGAAAGCCAGTGCACTGGAAGGCCAAAGGTCTGCTTGGTGGGAAACTACAATGTGAACAAAAAGATGGTCCTTCTGTATTCCCTGGACCTCTCCAGCATGGTCTCCTTTCCTTCCAAATTTAACATACCACAAGGCAGGAGAAGCAACCAAAGAGATTGTGACAGTCTTATCCTGTCCTAGTCTTAGATCCTGGAACATCTGTTTTGTAAAGGTGAAACCTGCAAGTCAACGTAAGGAATTCCTCTTCTTTTGAGAAGTTATATGAATGAAAAGGGAATCTTACAAAAGCTCTCAGAAATGTAAGCACTACTTTTTAGATGAGACTATTATCTTACGAAGCAGGTTTCTCAGATAATCTCTCATTTTAATATGGTTTATAAAACATAAGCCCTTTTAAAAGAAATTTATTCTTTATGTCTTGGAACCTTCTGAGGAATGTGACAGTGGATCTTTAGAGTTCTAATTTTAGCAATTAAGCAAATCTCAATATGTATTTGAAGTCTGGCAGAATATGCCACCCCAAAATATGCCACTTTGGCATAAGGAATACTTTGGGCTAAGGCTCTTTAAAAGTAGGTACAAGAAGGGGACTCTGATCCTACTCTTTTTCTTTCTTAAAGCAAGAGATAAAACCCCCATATGAAGTAAGTCATCTCCATGGCAGAAGGAAAATAGCATTCTTATTATCAAGAATGGAAAGTTGAGACTGAGAATTCTATACAAACAGACCTTATTAAAATAATTCTTATCTTCCTTTAGCCTCTCCACATAGTTTAGTTACTTTTCCACAATTGCCTCTCTTTGTTCAGTCAAGCATACAAGCATTTAGATTTTGCCACTTCTTTGGGTCTTCATTTCCTTATGAGGGCTCCTGTGTCACATAAAACTTATTCAGGTATTAAATAAATTTGTATGCTTTCATCCTGTTAATTCAATTCCTGCTACGGTACCAGTTTAATTCTTAGGCCCAGCTAAAAAAACCCTAAGGAGAGTAGAATTTTTGCCTCCTCTACATATTTCAATCATGCAATTTTACTTCTTGTTTTTTAAAAAAACTCATCATTATTTCTTAAAGACATATGAAAATTATAGAATATAGAAACTACCCTCTTTTACTCCATCTATTTAGCCCAACTATTTGCAAGGGAAGTATCTTACGCCTTTGTGGCCTCCAAAAAGAAGGAGATTTGGCGCTTTATATAAGGCTGCCTCAGGATGCTCCTCACAGAGGGTCTTTCTTCAGGCCTTTTGCTCAACATTGTTCTTATCAGTTCTGCCAGCTCTGGGCTATAATCTCTTGGCATTGGTGGCAGCTACAAAGAAAAATAATACTGCAATTATGGCACATGGTCTTATGAAGCAAAGTAAAAGCAGGTAGAGGTTTCCCAATATTTATTTAAAGTCATATATCCAAATGCTTATTTGGATATATGTATGTTAGTATGTTAATCTACAGGAAGTCTACTGGTTTCCTAGTTGTACTAACCAGTTGTAAGATTGTACAAGTATAATCAGCAGTCCCATTTGTAGACTCTCTCCTTTAGAAATAAGAGCCTGAGCGCCTAAAGACTTATGTGTCAGCACGATCTATACAGTGTAGTTTTTGTAGCAGTAAACCATTGGAAACAACATAAATGTCCATCCATAGGGGACTTATGAAATAAATTATAGTATAATTTTCTTATAGAAATGAGGCAGCAGCTTAAAAAAAAAAAAAACACAGGTAATAACCTGGAAAGATGTCCCTCATACATTAAGTCAAAAAAGCAAGTTATATACCAACATGTACAGTGTGATGCCATTCAGTTTAAGTATCTGTGTGTGTACAGGTACAGATACATACCCAGAGTTATGCCTGTATACAGACAGAAAAAAGCCAGGAAGGCCATGAACCAAATTGTTAGCAATAACTATCTCCAAAGAATAGAAATAGAACAAGACGGGAATTTCACCCCTTTCTTGTTTGACTCTTTAAGTAGTGGCATTATGGGCAAGTTTTACTTTTGTGCGTGTGTTTTTTTCAATATTTTTCAAATTAAATGAGTCTTATAATAGTACTAAAATCAGTAGGTGACTTATGACCTTAAAACTTGACCACTGGCTTACAGATGACAGCCAATGGTGGGGGCGGGGGGGAGTAACCATTCACGGATGCCTGGCACTGCAAAGGGCAACTAGCCTTACAGAACTAACATATAAAATAAGTAGGCTGAACTTGGTAGCTCAGCCTGTAATCCCAGCGCTTTGGGAGGCCGAGGTGAGTGGATTGCCTGAGCCCGCGGGTTTGTGACCCACCTGGGCAACTTGGTGAGACCTCATCTCTACAATAAACCAAAAATTAGCTGGGCGTGGTAGCGTGCGCCTGTAGTTCCAGCTACTTGGAAGCCTGAGGCAGAAGGATAGCCGGAGCCCAGCAGATTGAGGCTGTGGTGGCCAGGAGTGTGCTACTGCACTCCAGTCTGGGCAACGGAGTGAGACTCCAACTCAAAAAAAACAAAACAAGAAATGATCGGGCCGGGCGCAGTGTCTCAAGTCTATACTCCCAGCACTTTGGGAGGTAGAGATGAGAGGACTGCCTAAGCCCAGGGGTTCAACCCTAGGCAACTTGGTGAGATCTCGTCACTAATACAAATCAAAAATTAGCTGGTGGTGGCATGCACCTGTAGTTTCAGCTACTTGGAAGACTAAGGAAGGATCACCTGAGTCCAGCAGGTTGAGGCTGCAGTGGCCATGAATAAGCCACTGCACTCCAACCTGGGCAACAGAGTGAGACTCCAACTCAAAAAAAAAAATGATCAAATACTTCTCTTCTACTTTGACTTTTCCACCAGAAGGGACCCATATATAATTTTTTTTTCTTTGTAGAAACAGGGTCTGGCTACATTGCCCAGACTGGTCTTGAACTCCTAGGCTCAAACAACCCTCCACCTTGGCCTCCCAAAGTACTAGGATTATAGGCGTGGGCCATTGCACCCAGTTCTTAACTATCTACCCAATATCAGTAATTACTCACTGACTCATCAAAATCGTCAATTATTTTGCCAGTAGCTATTTACAAAGCTGCTTTATATAAAACTTGCTCAATTAGTTCTAGATTATTCTTTACCTTTCCTTCAATAATCCGATAAACTAAAGAATTCATGTCTTTTGCATTGAAAGCATGCTTCAGGGTGGCCATTTCATAGACACAGCATCCCAGAGCCCAAACATCAGACTAGAAAAGAAAAATAATAAGTGATTAAATGTCAGAATACTTACATTTTTTCACCTTTAAAAAAGAAGACATTTTCCTTAAACCAATTCACAGATAATTATTCTGACAACTATTCTGATGGATTCTGAAATTATGAATATTCTCCCAGAGACAAGGTAAGCCACACACCAACCCTACCTTATAGTTGTAGGGTTTGTTTGAGAACAATTCAGGGCTCATGTAGTAGGGTGTGCCAATGAGGGTGCTAGCCATGTCACAGTTGTTCTCCAACACTCGGGCAATTCCTAGGTCACCCACTTTGATGATGCTTGTTCTTGTTAGGAAGACATTTTGAGTTTTCAGATCTCGATGAAGAATGTGTTTCTCATGTAAATACTGAGGAAAGAAGTAAAATTTTACTGCATGTAAATATATTTATTTGCTTATTTATTCCCAGCTTCTTATGTACAATCAGCAATTTCATGAGTTAAAGAGACTTAGTTACCTATCTATCAAATGTTGTTTTTTATAAATGCTATATAAAAGGTCTAATTTACATTTGAAATAAGAAAATTAAGTTCCATGCATTCATTTGCCCAATACCCATCAAAATTGTTCCCTAGTGCCTTGATAATTACACCATTTTAGCATTACAAGGTCCAGCTTTTGTTTGTTTGAGTTGGAATTTCACTGTCGCCCAGGCTAGAGTACAGTGGCACACTCACGGCCACAACAGCCTCAACCTGCTGGGCTCAGGCAATCTTCTGCTTCAGCCTTCCAAGTAGCTGGAACTACAGGTGTGTGCCACCATGCCCAGCTAATTTGTTTGATTTACTGTAGAGATGAGGTCTCACCAAGTTGCCCAGACTGGTCTCAAACTCCTGAGCTCAGGTAATTCTCTTGCCTCTGCCTCCCAAAGTGCTGGGATTACAGGTGTAAGCCACCATGTCCAGCAACAAGGTCCAGTTCAAAAATATGCTTATAAACTCTCACTGAAGGTAGGACAACTAATACAAAGTCAGATGTACATTCCTCTCAAATCCATGAAATCCTCAGTCTGATAATTTTTTTTTTTTTTTTGAGCTGGTGTCTCACTCTGTCGCCCAGGCTGGAGTGCAGTGGCACCATCATGGCTCACTGCAGCTTCACCATCCTGGATTCAGGCAATCCTTCTGGCTTGGTCTCCAGAGTGGCTAGGACTCAGGCATGTGCCATCATACTCGGCTAATTTTTTTATTTTTTTGTACAGATGAAGTCTCACTATGTTGCCTAGGTTAGTCTCAAACTCCTGGGCTCAAGAGATCTTCTGCCTTGGTTTCCCTAAGTTCTGGAATTACAGGCATGAACCACTGTGCACTTTTTAATATTTTCAGATATAATGAGAACATTTTTATTCAGAGAGAGTATCTTAAAATTTAAACAAGGTCAATGCATTCTGGACCAGTCTTCTCAGTTCCAAAATGGTATTACATAAACAGTTGCACTTTTGAGTATGTGTACATTAAAACACAAGCTTCTAAGGATATTTATTCTATTTTATGGAATAAAGCGTCCTCCGATTCTAAAAAAATAAAGAAAGGCCAGGCATGGTGATTCATGCCTGTAATCCCAGGATTTGGGGAGGCCAAGATAGGACTGTTTGAGCCCAAGAGTTTGAGACCAGCCTGAACAACATAGCCAGACTTTGTCTCTACAAAAAATTTAAAAATCTGCCAAGCATGGTGGCATGTGTCTACAGTCCTAGTTACTTGGGAGGCTAAGGTGGAAGGATCGCTTAAACTCAGGAGTTTGAGGCTGCAGTGAGCCAAGATCATGCCACTGTACTCCAGTCTGAGTGACAGAGTGAGATCCTGTCTCAAAAAAAATTAACAGGCTGGGCGAAGTGGCTCATGCCTGTAATCTCAGCAGTTTGAGTGGCCAAGGCAGGAGAGCTACTTGAGCCCAGGAGTTCAATACCAGCCTAAGCAACATAGCAAGACCTCGTTTCTTCAAAAAGTCAAAAAACAGCCGGGCTCGGTGGCTCAGTCTGTAATCCCGCGCTTTCAGAGGCTGAGGTGAGTGGATTGCCTGAGCCCGCGGGTTCGAGACCCGCCTAGGCAAATTGACGAGAACTCATCTCTAGAATAAATCAAAAAAAATTAGCCGGGCATGGTAGCACACGACGGTAGTTCCAGCTACTTGGAAGGCTGAGGTGGAAGGATCGCCGGAGCCCAGGTCGAGGCTGCGGTGTCCAGGAGCGTGCCACTGCCCTCCACCCTGGGCGACAGAGTGAGACTCAATTCAAAAAATAAAAAACAAAAAAGCTGGGCTCAGTGGCTCAGCCTGTAATCCCGCACCTTTGGGAGGCTGAGGTGAGTGGATTGCCTGAGCCCGCGGGTTCGAGACCCGCCT